TATATATATATATATATATATACTATCTTTGTGTGACATTATTACAAAAGTAGATAAACGAATCATGAGACACGAAAAGTATACATCGAAGACATCGAAGAAACGAGCTAACGCGGTGGTAGAAGGGCCAAGAAGTGTCGTAAAATATACCTCAGTAGAAAGATAAAAGTCATCGAAGATTACACCTTTAGAAGAGGGTTTCTAATCGTCTACTACTACTACTACTACTACTATTACTACTACGGACAACTACCATTACTAAATCGTAACACATTTAGAGTATTACCAAACTAATAGAGAGAAAGATATAGTGTACGTGTGCGCGTGTGTCAGTGTGTTTTTGCTATGTTATAATAGTTACTCATTCTCGTACATAAGGGAGTCCTTCTAAGAACGATAACTTTTTTTTTTTTTATCGGACACTTTGTCACATCCTTTTTTACCTCTTTACCACTCCCCTTTCCCTTCTCCCCTTTTCTTTTTTCTCTCCGTGTATATTTCTACTTGTTATCATCGTTCCTTGATTTTTATCGGATAAGCAAAGACAATAATATACTATCAACAACAACAACACCAATTATAAACTGTTGAACGAAGATGGAGATCGCTGCGTCAGCTATGTTGGATGGCTTGAAGAACAATCGGATCAGCAAGTTGGCCCTGTCTCGATTCTTGTCCCAAAGTCTGTGAGTAAATTAACAAAATTAAAATCCCTAAACACTTGAAAGCAAACCCCTTGGCGAAAACAAATGATAAATGAAATAATAACGATTAAATTAAATATATATATATATATGTTTGTGTGTGTGTGTGTATATGTGTACGGATAAATATAACGAGAAAAACTAACTAAAATAAGAACGAGATAAAAATAAAAAAATATATACGCATACATGTACATTTATATATATATATACGTCGAAACAAAAATTGTTTTTGATTCGAACAAAAATATGCTTTCCTTTAGATTTTTTTTTTTTATTAGGGTGGGAGCAACAATAATAAAAAAAAAAATATATATATATATAAAACGTACGGGATCGTTTTCGGGGAAAAATAAAAAAAAGAAGAAATAGAATAATCAAAACAAGAAAAGGAAAAACAAAAAAAATAGAAAAACGAAACGGAATGGTACGGAACGGAACGGAACGGAACGAGAGTAGCGTTTGGTGATCGCCGAGCTCGAAAATAATTCGCTTTGACGAGGAAGTAATGAGAACCTCGTCGTTCTGTGTGCACCGAGTCGTGCACGGTCGTTGATTAATCGTTCGGTTCCTCTTCTTTCTCTTATTTTCTATCGTTTTCTTTTCTTCCCCTTTCCCTTTCCCCTTTCCCTTCTTTCCATTCTTTCTTTTCTCTCTTTTTTTCTCATCCTTTTTCTCTCTCACCACCCCCCTCCTCCTCCTCCTCCTCCTCCTCTCCCCCACGTCTCTATCATTTTTTATTATTTTTCTCTTTCACCACCTTCCGGGATAAACTTTATTATTCTCATAGAGAATCTTCCTGCATGATGTGTTGTATAGTAACAATAACAACAACAACAACAACAAAAAAGAAATAAATATTCAAAAAATTCTATCGCACCTTTCCCCATTATTGTTATATATATTTTTTCTTCTTTTTTTTTGTCTTTTTAATCGTAAAATTAATCAACTCGAAGTTTATCCTTTTTATCTTTTAAAACAACTTCCCCTCTCTCTTCCACTCGTAACCATCGTCAATGCATTGTGTACAGCATGCAGTATGTTTCACATGGTTCCTTATTTCTTCATTTTAATCATTATTTCAATTTAATTAATATTCCAAATAACCTCGAGACGTATTTCTATCTATTTTTTATTCTCGATTTTTTATCATGTGAAAACCGCAAAGAGAAAAGCAAAAAAACAAAAAAAAAATACAAAAACATAATACGTGGTGTATCTAATCATTTAAATAAACAATATAAATATGAATGGAAAAAGAGTCGGGTGATTTAATATAGTTCGAACAACGATCAATCCCCTAAACGTAAAACGATCGATCGTTGGAGAGTTTAAATACGCGAGTTACGTAATGGCACTTAGACCGCGAACGCGAATGATAGAAAGAGAGAGAGAGAGATAGAGAGAAAGAGTCACCCTCGAAAATAGGACAGCTGGTGAGAAAAAATAGCACTCGAATCTTCGTCGCTACGTTTTCCACCCCTTCAATTTTTATCTCCGTTTCATCCCCGAAAGCGTAGATCGAACGTGATGACCCTGTGCCAGAGATTCGATCCTCTCGGCTAAGTATATTATACTTCTATCGAGAAAGTCGATTATTATACTCTTCCTCGTGATATATGATATTTTATTTTTACCCCTTCTTTTATTTCTTTCTTTCTTTCTTTTTTTTTTTTTTTCTAATATTTATTTGTCTTTCTCTGGTTAAGGAATAATTACGAGTGATTTTTTTAATTTTTTTTTTTTATCATATTTCGACGAATATAATACAATATTATTATGTTAAGTAATAATTACGTGTATGTGTGGATACGAAACTGTTTCTTTTTTTTTTTTTTTACTTTATTTTAAAGTTTGATATCCAATTTTTACAAGACTACGTTGTGAAAGATGATCTGTACCATACAATCATCTAAAACGGTGATAAATCATTTTTACGTCGTCGTCTACACGTTATTCATTTACCTGCACGTATCTATATGTATAAGTAAAATGAAATAACAGAGAAGAAAAAGGTTAACGAGTATATCGTTTTCGTTTAAAGCTTCTAGAAAATAGACATGTAATAAAATATATATATATATATATATATATTAAATTATCTTTCTCGTTTAAACGTTATGGGATAAACGATAAAAATAAGAAAATTTATGATATTATAACCGTACGAGTCATAATCATTTTCATGATCTAATTTAAACGAAGATGAAAGAAAGTAAAGTTCTAAGAGAACCGGAGGAGAGGAACTTTGTCTCGATTAAATTCAATTCAAGATAAGAGAGAGCAAGAGAGAGAGAGAGAGCAAGAGAGAGAGAGAGAGAGATGTTACATTATTAGATATTTTAATAGTTAGCTAGCTAACTGTTTTCTCACGTTCGTTGCATTAAGTAGTACAAGTCAAGCATCTACATATATTTCCAGATATTTAAGTAGTACAAAGTCAGGCATACATATATATATATATATATATATATATATATATATATGTATTTGCGTATACCGGCGGAGACATTTAAGTAGTACAAGTCAGGCATTCATACGCAGTCAGATATTTAAGTAGTACAAGTTAGGTATGATATAAATTGTCAGACTATTAAGTAGTACAAAGTTAGGCATCTATATATGGTCAGACAATTAAGTTATCTATGCACGATCAAAACATTTGATTAATTTTTAAACGTGCTTTCGATAGTTTATGGTAATTGATTGTAAAAAAAAAAAAATATATATTAAATCGAAGAACTTTTTATGTTCCATTTCGTAGGAATTAATTCAATTCCGTCGTCCGATTAGTCGACGAACGATCACCGATGCGTTGTTCGATAAATTCACTGATTTCCGGCTTGTAGGTCAACGAAATCCTTAGAACGTCGTGACATTCACTAGAAATAGAGAGAGAGAGAGAGAGAGAGAGAGAAGGGAAAGGGAAAGGGATCTATTGGGAATTTCGAAATAACTTGGACACTCTCGATACCTATCGTTAATTGCATTTTCCACGACGTCCGATCTTGAGTAGGCTCGGCAAACTACAAATCTCAATCTTCCATACGTTGAATTGAATCGTATAATACCAACACGATAAAAATATATATATATATATATATCTATATATGTAAAATAAAAACCCTTTGGTGGCCTTGAGAAAGATTTTTTTATAGACATACCTAAGAATAATTTTTCCATTTAATTTCAAAGAAAAATGATAAGAGAGAATCTCGTATATAAGAATAGAATATTTCAAATGGTCTAAGGTTCTATTATCTATTTTATTAATTCAACCCATAGTACTATAAATATTTTTTTGTCGTATTATCAATTAATGAAAGAATATATCCTTGTAACACAATTTCTTCAATCTTATCCTATCTTTATAAATATATTTTCACAGATATTTATATATTAAACCATAGTACTCTCTGTGTATATGTGTGTGTGTGTGTGTATTGGATATCTCGATTCGTTGCAAATTCCAGTTGCATTATAAATTTCTTTTATAGGATAAAACGTCAGGTCGGTTTATTGAATCGCCGGTTTATAATGCTCAATTACAAACTTTCTTCGTGATAGAAAATTTCTCTTGGTGAGAAAAGTTATGAGAGAGAAGGGAAATGGGGGGGGGCGGGGGTAACCGACGACAAAAGGGTTAAACTTTTCAACTTGAGAGATCCTTCGCGTTTGCTAGTCTCATGCTGCTGCTGCTGCTGCTGCTGCTGCTGCTGCATTTCACGTCGAATATGTTCTCCCGTTGCAATTTTAAAAATGTCACCGTGCACGACCATTTATTACGATTTTCATCTC